AGCGGAGGGCGCGCTGCGGAGGGGCGCACGCAGGCCGCCGGGCCGCGCCGTGCTGGGCCGCGCCGTGCCCGGCCCGGGGCGGCAGCGGCGAGAGGAAGGCCGGGGGACAGGCTTTCCGGGCTGCCCGCAGCCCACAGGGAGGAAGCGAGGCGGCAGCCTGTACCGGGCCGAGCGTCCAGACAGGTGATCGGCGGTACCGCGGGAGCTGGGACCACGCTCCGTGGTCCCCTCCCGAGGCTGACGGCAGCAAATATGCGGATTTACCGGCCGGGTCGCTCCTAAAGCCAGCGACGGGGAGCGAGCGCGGCGGCGGCCAGCACGGGGAACGCACCAAGGAAGAAGCCCAGCCCCCGCCCTCCGCCCCTTCCGTCCCCACCCCCTACCCGGCGGCCCAGGAGGCTCCCGGCGCGACTCTGTTCCTCCTCCTCCTCCTCGCTGGCTGTGCACTCGCTGCTCGCGCCGAGCGCGCTCCGCAGGCTCCCTGCTCTCCGCGCCACCCTCCTCCGGGCCGCGCTCCCTGAGGGATGGTACTGAATTTCGCCGCCACAGGAGCCCGGCTGGAGCGCCCGCCCCGCGGCCTCGCCTCCCTGCCGAGCTTCCAGCGCCTCGGGACGCGATGAGGACCTGGGCTTGCCTGCTGCTCCTCGGCTGCGGATACCTCGCCCATGCCCTGGTCGAGGTGGGTGCCACCCCCGCGCCTCCCTCCCCTCTCGGCTCCCTCGGCGCACGCCCCCCTCGGCTACCTGTTTCAAGCTCTGCAAAGAGCATTTCGGCTTTGCCAGGGTGCTGTAATTTAAAAAAAAAAAAAAAAAATCCCAACTGGGTTCTATTTTCTGCCATGCCCAAGTGTGTCTGGTGAGTTTCCAGCGCGTTGCGTCGCTCCGCCTTGGAGAGGGACGGGGGAGCCGCGAGGTGAAGCAGTGGGCAGAAACTTCGGGGGGCTGTGGGTGCCTTTCCAGAAGGGGCAGCACGAACGCAGCGGACAATGCACTAACGGGGTGCGGACAGCGGGAAAGGGGGTGTGTGTGAACTGACCGTGCCCTGGGAGGGGACTAGGGCGGGCAGTAAGCAGGTAGAGGAGGGTGCGGCCGAAGCCCGGGACTGGGCAGGGTGGGCAGCGCCCAGCCGCAGTCCCCCAGTTCCCGGTCCCCAAGCCAGTCGGACTCCGGGCTGGAGCAATCTCCGCCCGCCCAGGGCCTGCTTACAGGTGGCTGAGCGAGGCAGCTGGGGCCGGGCCAGGCGCCGGCGCCCTCCCACCGCCACCCCCCCAGTCCCCGGGAGCTTTGCCGTGATGAAAGACTTTCCACAGCCCCTGTCGTGGGAACTTCGTGGTTGAGTCCCCCAACGACCCTGACTCCCTTTAAAAAAAAAAAAAAAAAAAAAAACCGGGAGGGAGAGTGGGGGAGGCTGGACGGTGGGGGTGGTCTGGGCCGGGGCCGGAGAGGCGCGAGGTGGATATTTAACCCCTTGCTTTCCCTGCAGCCTCTCCAAGCCCCAGGAAATTTGGGCGTCCTAGTCGGCGCTAGGGCCGTGACTGGGCCGGAGCCGGGAGGGTCGACCGCGCGTGCTTGCTTTTGGGGGAGCGCGAAGACCTCCTGCGGGCTCCCAGGACTCCCCAGAGGGAAATTGAACCCTCAGGCTAGATTAAAGTCCCGGGGCTGCCGTGACTCCGGTCGTGGATGCGTGACGCATTTCCACTCTCTTCCTACGTGTGGATTTAGCTTTTAAGCCAGAAACTCCTCGGGCCCCTGGCTGCCCCCAGACACCCTGGGGAGGGCCGGGGCGCGGGTGCTTTTTGTCTGAACATGTCAAGGCGGTGTTGGGGTGTTTTTTACCAAGGTCAGACAGACAGGAATGGGGTGGAGGAGTTGGGGGGGTCCCCATCTAGCCCCACCCGAGCCTCTGGTTCTAGAGCCTGGTGGGGGTCGGGCGGGGCTGCCTGGCCTCTGGGGTCGGCTGGAACCCCTGGGCGCGTCCTGACCGTGTGGTCTGCTTGCAGGAAGCCGAGATACCCCGAGAGTTGATCGAGCGGCTGGCTCGAAGTCAGATCCACAGCATCCGGGACCTCCAGCGACTCTTGGAGATAGACTCCGTAGGTAAATCGCGCCCCTGCCCCTGGCTGCGGGGAGGGCGCGGGCGGCGGGGCGGGCAGTCTGCGCGAGGAACCTACCCTGCGCTCGGCCCGGCCAGGCGCTGCGCAGGAGCGCACCGAAAGGTCAGACTCCACTCGCCGGCCATAAACGCCCAGGCGTATGAGTCAGGCGTTTCTCTAGCAGTTGCCACTTTCTCTCCCAGCGGCAGCCTAGGGCTGCCTCGCTCGCCCGGGGGTTGTTTTTGCATTTAAGGGAAACGCAGCGGGTGTGTCGCTGAAAGTTCAGCTTTAGAGCGTGCCGAAAGACCCTGCCAGGTGTGTGGGTCAAACTGCCGATTTGGCCCTGGAGCGCCGGAGCCGGCCTGGAAGGCGCGCGGCGCTGGCAGCTCTCTCACCTGGCGAGGGCCCCCAGAGCATTGGAGGAGCTGGTCGGCTCGGGCTTTCTGTAAACTCCTCTCCCTGCTGCCTGGATCGCCCGGGGCTGGGTCCCTGCAGTGTCCGCAGGAGGACGGTGTTTTTCTCAGCACCGGCCTGTAAAAAGGCGCGCCCGGGACACATGCGCTTGGGGCTATTTTGGGGGCTCCCCGCCTAGGGCTAGAGCCAAGCCACCGTAGAAAACAATTTGTAAATGTAGGGTTGGAGTAGACTCTTGTCAACAAGGGCTAAAATAAAGGGGTGGGGGTGGGAGAGGCACACGGTATGTGCTGGGGGACAGCTCAGGCTTGTGAAACCTTTCTAAAATGAACAGTTGGCCTGGCTATTGTTTTTGACACTGGGATGAAAACTTAGCCGGCTTTGAAAAATAAAAAAAAAAAAAACAACAACAAGGCCCTGGTGAGTTTGTCAGGAGGAGCTGAAGGCCGCCAAAGCGAAGATTCTAAGTGACGATTTCCCCCTCCTTGCAAACTTTTCAGAAAGGGGAGTGGTGAGAGAATTAAAGTAAAATCACATGGTCTAGCCATTTGGAAATTTGTACCTAATTATGGTGGTGGAGAGGCCTGAACTGTTTTCGTTGCATGCCAAAACCATTTTTTAACAAGGCGGCCCCGTTTCAGTAGTTTCTTGACCCAGGAAATCCTTGGCCTGATCCTTATCAGGAGTGGCAGGCCTAGGGTTTCACTAGGAGATCAAGAGTAGGGAAAGGGGGTTTTGATCTGATCCCTTGATGAGTAGGACTTGGCTTGGGTCACTGGGGAAATACTCCCAGAGTTTTTGCTGGTCCCCAAAGGCTTTTTGGAGACCAGTGGACTGCTTTCCTGCCCTGCTTAAGCCAGGGCTGGGCCTCCCGCTGTCTGGATGCTGGGGGAAATGGGCCATTCACTTTCTGCTGGGACCATTCTTATTCTGTTCTCTGCAGCCACGCCTCCCCCACCCCCCACCATTAATTCTTTTAGGACTGTGGTTCTGTTAGGGTAAGCTGACGTGCTTCTGGGTTGGGGCCTCCCTCCTTGGAAGGGTCCGAAGAGAAAAAGCAGTCAGGGCCCCCTGGAGGTTTCAAATTGCTTCAGTAAGAGGTTGTGTGTGTGTGTGTGTGTGTGTGTGTGTGTGTGTGTGTGTGTAGGGAGGAGTGGGGTTTAGGATATCCACCCTCCTCATTCCACCTGTCATACGTTTGGGGGTTCTCCATGGAAAACATCTGGGGACCAGGTGTGGGTGTGAGCTTCTGCTGCCCTCCTAGCTTCCTAGTCTTGAAGACATGGCTAGAGGACCCCTGTGACACCAACTCAAAGTGGGGTCTTCCTTGCTGGGCTACCCCCTGCTCTGGTGTGGAAACTACCTGCAGGCCAGTCTTTGGCCTGTGGACAAGAGTTGCTGGTTGGCTCTTCCCATTCCCATTCCATTCCTTCTTGAAGTGAGGAGCCTTGTGGCTCAGGCTGCTAGAGGAGGCTTCAGACAGCGGTGGTGGTCAGTTTTAGAGTCAGCTGGAAGGGGTCCTCTCTGGGGTGTCCCCAAGGGTGGCTTCTCCAGGTGGATTCTTGCTGTCTCTATATATCAAATTTGCAGTCAGCAGAGAAAGGCTTGGGGGTGGGGGTGTCCCAGGCTCTCCAGCCAACTCCTCATCCAAGGGGGTGGAGCTTCGTGATGGGCTTGTCCAGTGAGCTGGCAGCATCCCCATTTTCCAGATGGGGAAACCCTGAAGGCATCTCCTCCCAACCTTGCAGCTCCTTGGCTGCGTGGCCCAGCTCCAAAGGTGGCTGGATTCCAATGCATTGCCAAGAATGTCCCTGAGCCCAGAGCTTTCCATGGCAGAGTCAAGGATCCCTAAGTGGGCTTTCAGCGTGGCTTTTGGGTCCAGAGAGTGGCATGTAGTCCTGTGAACTGAAGCTCAGGAGTTCAGGTTGATTGTGTGTGAGTGTGTGTGTGTGTGTGTGTGTGTGTGTGTGTGTAACGGGAGCTTTGTTCTCTAGAGCTGCTGGCCAGGCGCCCATGGGTCATTGAGTAACTGATATATAAACACCCCATCTCAGGCTGCTCACAGTACAGTAGCCAGGACAGGGCTAGTGGACTCTTTCTGTCCTTCCTCTAGTAGTCAGATATTGCTCCTCACAAAGGGAGGTGACTCCCTAGGCCTGAGAAGGGCCTAGCCACTAAATAACGCTGGACTCTGCTTTGTGTGTCACCCAGGTTGCCATCCCTCAAGCTCCCTAAGAACTTACCTGACATGCAGCAAAAATGCCCCGGTGGTAGATCAACACATATTTATGTTATTGTAAAGATATGGTCTCGTGTAGCCCAGGCTACCCTTGAGCTCTCCTAGGTTGCCAACTCTCCCATCTCCACTTCTGTAGGCGCAGGTTTGCAGGCCTCCATCACCACAGGCTGGGGCTGGGGGAATGTGTGCTCTGGACCCAGCCGGACTGTATCCCCAGCTCGTGTTTGTGGTTTCTGTTTTTTGAGAAAACAGAAACTTGGAACTTCAGATCCTGTGACCTTACCACATCTGATTCCCCAAGACCTGTCTTGGTCTGGGGGACGGGAGGTGGGCTTTTCTGAGTAGGGGCTGTGGCCAGTCGCTGTGTCTAAATTTTTGTCTGCATTAAGTTCAGTCAGGAGACTTTGGAGAACTGAACCTAGTGGGCACCTGCTCTGGAGGGCCCAGTGTTCTTTTGGGTCTTTATTTATTTAATGTTTTTTTGTTTGTTTTGTTTTTCTTTTTCTTTCTTTCTTTTCTTTTTTTTTTTTTTTTTTTTTTTTTTTTGAGACTGGATCTTGTGTGTCCTAGGCTGGCTTTGAATTTACTTTGTATCCAAGGATGACCTTGAACTCTGGATCTTCCTTCTGCCACCTCCTGAGTGAGGGGATTTACCATACACCTGTTGGATTTGCCTTTGTCCTTGTTCAGTTTCTCTGGACTCTAGTTGCATAGGCCAGGGCCTGTGCAAAGATCAGCGACACCTACTGTGTGCATGTTGAGACGAGCAAGGAAGGCATCAGGGCACCACAGCTGGCACCCCTGCCCACTCTCCCAGGCCTCTGACTGGATGGACCATTCATCTCTTGTTGGCTTGGCCATAGCAGGATGGTCCTCTCTAGGTCATGACTCATCCTGTCACTTTTTTTTTTTTTTGAGATGCTTCTTTGTTAACAGTTGGTTGGTGGTTGACCGGAAATTTTTACTGCATGAGCAGTTCTGATCTTATTTTGGGTCTTTAAAAAAAAAAAAAAAAAAAAATCCGTGCCATTGGAACATTGAGTCATTTTAAATAGTTTTTGGGCTCAGATTCATCGTTGACATTCACACCTTAGGCGAGTCTTTGCGTTTCATCTTAAACGTGTGGGTTGCAGACATCTTGGTGGGGGAGGCTGGTGTGTCTCCTGTTGGTTTGTGGATGGTGTGGTTCCGATGGGCTTTGTATCGCTTAGGAGGGCCGTCTGTTTGGGGCAGAATGTGACTGAAATGTTGGGACCCAGAGGAATGTCCCAGGAAGCTGAGTGGCAGCAGCGGTGCATGCCTTTAACCCCAACACCCAGGAGGCAGAGGCAGGCAGATCACTATGAGTGTGAGGCCAGTCTGGTCCAGGACAGCCAGGGCTACACAGAGAAAGAAAGGAAGGAAGGAAGGAAGGAAGGAAGGAAGGAAGGAAGGAAGGAAGGAAGGAAGGAAGGAAGGAAGGAAGGAAGGAAAGAAGAAGAAGAGTGTCCCTGGGGGAAAGGTGGGGAGGGGGATGGAGGAAGGGGAACTTTGGACTCTTTGTGTTGTAGAGGCTGGGAAGGCCAGGTATAGAGTGTATTAGGGCCTGACACACAGTGCTTGGCAAGGCTCTGTGTCCTCCGTTCCCCAGGAATTGCAGAATTTGGGGGCAGTGTCTGTCATGGGCCAATGGAAAACCCAGTGGCTAGGTTTTCTAGGCTGACCTTAACTCTGTACCCTCTGTGGATAAGGTGCTGAACCCCCGTTGGCCCTCCCTCAGTGTGTGAAGATTCTTCCAGGCACTGAGGCTTTTCTCTCACTCCCTTTGTGTGCCTCCCTGCCTTATTCAGCCATCCCCCAGGACTCTAGCCTCAGGCCCTAACTCTGCCTCACTCCCCACTCCACCAGCAGCCGCATCCCTTCGCTGTTTCTCATGGCCTCTGGCCCTCAGAGCAGGCTTATTTCAGGAACAGAGGAGGTTGGCTTGCAGCCCAGTCTGGCGTTGCTTCCGATGCCCCTCAGAGGTTAGGGCATTTCATCAAAGCCTGCCTTACAAGAGGGAGGTGCTGTACACACAGCAGCAGGAGAGAGGCAGCGCCCTTCCCATCCTTGCTTCCATGAAAGCAGTACTTACTGCTCCAGGCCTGGGCCCAGCTGGGTGGCCTGGGGACTTTCCTGACCCAGGACAGCCCTCCAAGCGTTCCCTTCAGAGGCACATCATGAAGGACAGTACCTGAAAGGACTTCCTGGAAGAACCTCAGAATTTCACAGGAGAGTTGCATTTTGCGGGACACGCATTCTGACAGGATAGTAGGGAGCCGGTTGGAGGTGCACATCTGTGAGCCCCATGTGAGCAGGGAGGGTCTGGGGTTCTGACTGAGCCACTGCCCTTTGTCCTCCTGCCCTGAAAGTAGCTGTGTAAGCCTCAGCTGTTCGGGTCCCAGGGATATGTCAGTAAGTGTGGGCACTCAGTTACTATGTTCTTCTCTTTACTTTTAGGGGCTGAAGATGCCTTGGAGACAAGCCTGAGAGCCCACGGGTCCCGCGCCATTAAGCATGTGCCGGAGAAGCGGCCTGTGCCCATTCGCAGGAAGAGAAGTATTGGTGAGCCTGGGAGGGTGTAGGGCAACTGAAAGGGGCAGGTTCCCCCTGGAGCTGTGAATTCCCTGCTAACTCTGGCCTCTGGCCTAGCTATAGATCCCTTCCCACCAAACAAAGGCTTCGCTGGCCTCCCGCCCTCCCGGTGGAGGCAGTCCTGTTCTCCTCTCTGGAGTGTCTTCCCGCCTGCCCTTCCGCAGGCTTGTGCCTGGGCCAAGAGTTTCCAGGAGGAGAACATTATAAATTCCTTAAGTGCCCGGTCTTGTCAGGGCCTGCCTACGAGGAGGCTTCATTGGAAAACGTGGCTGCGCTTAATTTCCAGTTCCTGATGTGAGCTCCAGCGTGCTCCTGGCCGTCAGCTGCAGAGCCGGGGGCAGCCTGGAGTGTGCTGGCCCCGAGGCAGGTGGACACCTTTCCAGAGACTTGGCCTCACTCGCCTTTGGTTCCAGGGTTCTGCCTGGCTCTCATCCTGGGGGAAATTAGATTCTCCCAAGACCTATGCTTTCTCTTCATGGGGTGGAGCTGCAGATCTGACCCACCCAGTCCCTGCTCAGCCAAGGGTGCTATCTCCATACTGTGTGGCTGCTGGCTGCTGTGTGATCCTGGGAAAGTGGGTCCCTCTCTCTGAGGGTTAGTCACTAGTAAAAAGGTGAATTTTATCAATTCCTAGCTGGCTGGCAGGGAACAGTCCAGAGGTGAGGGTAGATGGGGGCTTCTGGCTATTCCGTAGCCATGCAGCTAGGACTGGACTCCTACTTCCAACTGACTGCAAGCTCAGGCCTTTGCAGGGCACTTGGAAGACTCCACAAGGGCAGTGGTGAGAAATGTGGAGGGGGTCAAGCCCGAGAGCCCAGAGTGGGGTGCCTGGCCCAGTGTTCGTTCATGCTTTCCCCTCTCTCCCAGGGAGTCTGTGGACACCTGTGTGGCTCCTCTGGAGTGTCTCGGCAGCTGCCAGTGTGCGAGAATCCCTTGTGTCTTGTAGGTGTGGCTCAGTGGTTAGCTGGCCTGGGTCTGCCTGGCCCACCACTCCTTCCAGCTCTGAGGTTAGGGTCAAGGCACCCTTTAGTATTGATAGGGCAGTGAGGACAGTGAGCCTTCCTGGAACCTCGGTCGCCTCTCCCCATGTAGGCTAGTCCCAAAGACGTTAAGAGGCAGCCATTATATAGTGAGCAACAGGGTCTGGGGTTAAATGAGATTAATGAGGACTGCCTGAGGAGGAGAAAGGTGTGTGTCAAAGGGTCCTGACTGGATCTCTTGTCTGTTATGCACACCTGGCAAACAGATGAGCGCACAAACTGGCTGAGCTCACCTATGTGATCAGAGGAGGGCAGGACATAGCTGCCTTTTCCTTGGAGGGCAAATAAGTGAAGTTCTGTGGCTTTTATAAGCAAGTTCTCAGCCTTGGGTATGTTGGGAATAAGGTTGAGCTGTTCCTTCGCTGTCCCACTTTTTGGCCTGCAAGAACAAGGAGGGGTGTGAGGGATGGAAGCAAGGCCTTGTGCATGCTAAGCAGGGGCTCTACCACTGAGCCACACCCCAGCCCCTCACTGGGGGATTCTAGGCAGGTGCTCTACCACTGAGCCACACCCCAGCCCCTCACTGGGGAATTCTAGGCAGGGGCTACACCACTGAGCCACACCCCTGTCCCTTCTTTACATTTTATTTTAAGGCGAGACTTCTGTAAGTTGCCCAGGTTGGCCTTGAACTATGTCTGTAGCTTTGTGAGTTTTAGCCCTGTACTGCTGGCAACCAGCATGTCTTCCATGCTGGAAGCTGCCGAAGGGGCGTGGCCTGCGCAGGTGCAGCCGAGGTGGGCATCTCTGGATTGGGGGAGGGGAAGTCATGTTTGTGGGCTACGTGAAGAATCCAGGTTCTCCTTATTCAGGGCACTCTTGTCTTTGCAGAGGAAGCCATTCCTGCAGTTTGCAAGACCAGGACGGTCATTTATGAGATACCTCGGAGCCAGGTGGACCCCACGTCGGCCAACTTCCTGATCTGGCCCCCGTGTGTGGAGGTGAAGCGCTGCACAGGCTGCTGCAACACCAGCAGCGTCAGGTGCCAGCCCTCTCGGGTCCACCACCGCAGCGTCAAGGTGAGCCCCGCCCTTCCGGCCACCAGCCTGGCAGAGGAGCGTACGGCACCCGGCTCCGCACAGGCCAGGGGCTGGCTTCAGACCTCCAGGAGTGACACGCCGTGCTTCTGGTCCCTTGTATCCCTGGGGAATTGTGAACAAATTCTCTTCTTCCAGAGCAAGTTATCTTCAGCCTAGATAGGGTGGCATCTGGGTTGGGCACTGAGGACCAACCAAAGAAAGTACTCCACTCAAGTTCAGCTGGCTGAGCCAATGAGGTTATTTTCAGGAGTGTGGGTGACTCAGAGGCGGCTGTATCACAGGAAGAGCCCACCCTAGCATTGGTGATGGCGGGAGAAAGTCGAGTCTCCAGAGCTTTCTCCCAGCTCTCTCCGCGCCCCCCCCAGCAGTTGCTGCTGCTTATATATTGTGTGTAGAGGGGTACTTGTGAACCCGCGACTTCCTGAGCTTCCCAAGCCTTGTGCCTTTCGTTAGCTTTGTGGGTCTAACTCTAAGAGGGAGTGTTTTAATTAGAGAAAATGACTGTGTCACTGTGTGAGATATTTGGGACCCCGGTTTTCGTGCATGGGCATTATCCCATAGATGACCGTGGAGCTTGGGCCTGGTCCCCTCTGAACCTGTGCGTCTCTCTGGGCTCTTTGAGGCTCACATGCTGGCCTCCTTGCTGGGTCATGGAGGGTTTCCAGCCACCCAGGGATTAGTCCCTCTCAGGGCATGAGTCTAAGAACGTGGTTGAAAGCCAGATGTCTTGTATGTGTGCGTTTCTGTGCTGTGTTGCCAAGATTGGAGCCTTTGGTGGTTCGTCAGTCAGACCAGTGGTTCCCAGCCTCCCGAATAAATGCTGCAACACTTTATTGCGGTTCCTCATGCTGTGGTGACCCCCACAATAGTTGTTTCATTGCCACTTCATCACTGTGATTTGGCTACTCTTCGTAAATATCTGATATTCAGGATATTGGCCCCGCCCCACCCCCCACTCCCTGGTTGAGAACCCCTGCTCTAAGCTGGTCTGCAGTTTCAAAACTGACTCTGACAGGTTGAGGCCCTTTTGCCGACAGTGTGACCATTGGGTGGCTGAGTGGGCATGTCTGCTGTTCGGTTCTGGAGAGTTTCAGGGCTTGACTGAGTAAAGCCCACATATCCTACAGGCATCCTCAGGACTGGGCACCCCATCAAAAGCCCAGGGTTCCATGGACTCATCTGGGGTGCACTCTGGGTTGGCTGTCCACCCTCAGAGGTTGGGCAGGATGTTGGCTAGCGGCAGGGTCATGCTGCTTGGGCTGACTCAAGCCCTGGCAGCCTGTGTGACCAGCCTCAGCCTTTTCCTCAGGGTTCCCACTGATGGTATATTGAGGAATCTCTGGAAATCTGCCATCTTGTTCCTTTGGGTACAGGTGCCGGACATGATCTAGGGTAGGTCGTTCTGTTTCTCAGTCTGTCTGGCTTCGTTCCTTGCTTGCCTGCCATGGATTTGTATAGTCTAGGCTGGCTTAGAACTCTCTACCCAGGATGGTGTTAAACTTGAGGTGAATCCTCCCTCAACCTCCTGACTGGTGGGGTTTGTTACAGGAGTGAGCTATTACAGTGAGTTTAGGAATACTTTTTCCATGCTGGAGACTCGCTCAAAGGGATGGGTAGTGTGTGTGTGTGTGTGTGTGTGTGTGTGTGTGTGTGTGTGTGTGTGTGT